GCTCTCTCTAGTCAGCGCCAGCCTCCTCCCCCTAGTCTTGCTCGCTCCTCTCCTCACTCAGCTCACTCCGTGTTCTGTGTGCCCCAGGTCCTCCTCGTCCCGCCCCATGGCTGCCTCCTCCACACGGCCCACCGTGCTGGCCCTGAGTGGGCTGGTGCTGCTTCTGCTCCTGTGTCTTGGTCCAGGTGAGCGGGTGATGCAGGCTGAAGGCGACCCTGGGCTGAGTGGTGATGGGGCTCTGGTTCTGCGGCTCACCCCAGAGGGGCCCTTGCGCAGGCGGAGTGGGTGCTGGGTTCAGGGGCAGGGACTCAGCTTTGCAGGGCCACTTGGCATGAGAAGGACAGGGCTGCAGGGGAGAAATGTGCAGGACCCCCGGGAGCTCTTTTTCTGCACTTTGCTTATCAGAATAGATGTGGAGAACAGAGTGCTGATTGAGGGGCTGCGGTCATGCAGTGGGGTCCCTCGAATTCTGGTGCTGATGGCAGCAACAGAGCTGACAGCTTCTCCTCTTTCTCCAGTCTAAGACGTGTGGGGATGACTCCCGAGGACACAGGCTGTAAAACATTCATTTTCAGGACTCATATTTTATTTAATTCATGCCCAGAATTTAGGAGTCACTTACAATGGAGTCATTATCACCCTGAATGCATGTGAAAGTCTTTTGACACAAAAGGGAAAATCTCCATACAATCCAAAGCTGACTCCTTACCTGAAGTATGGATTGCAGGAAATGATCACAGCTCCCTTGAGGAGCGAAGTAACATTAGCACCACGGAAGGGGTGTCTTGCAGTTCTCACTCTGCCACTGCTGGAGACTAAACTCCAGCTAGCTGTACTTGATGAATTGGGAGGTGCTTATTGTCACAGCCAGGAAGTTAAAATGGATAACACTGGGATAGAACATCCCTATCACAGGAAATACATCACAGCCATTCTCCCATTCGCTGCTCCTTGCTTCTGAACGGGATTGGTGTGGTGACCAACTGCCCATGTTACTGTGCAGTCTGGGGTGCATGGGGCACAGCAGGGATGCTCACAGTCCTCATGTGAGATGCACCCTGCCGCTGGTCAGTGGTTGGGTTTGACAGTTGTGACACTACTTTGCCACCTGAAGTTGCAGCCTCCCAGGAGGTGCCTAAACCTGTGGTCTAAGGGCAGCCCAGGCTCCAGGTGTTAACTGCGAATCACTTCCACAGAAGGCGGACAGGGAGGGCAGCGCTTGACTGTGTGTGCTGCTCTGGATGGTGTTAGGAAGAGGAGACAAATGTGATGACATCCGTGAATGCCATTGTTGGAGCTGAGGAAGGCACCTGTGGCATTGGGCAAAGATTTCTGTAGGTGTCTTCATGGGGTTTTGGTTGGAGCCAGTCTCTGAGCGGCACTCCCAGCCCATCTGATAAGCAGTTACCTCTGAGTGGCTCTGGTTGGCTGTGAGTTTGGAGTCACAGCCCCAGGGACACCCGATGAAGACCTCTTGGGGCTGCTTGTTTCTCTGCTGTGGGTCATGGAGAATGTCACTTCCCATCCTGATCTGTGGCCCAGCACCCTTTCACAGATGCTCCTTGCAGAAGAGACGTTTCATTTCTCCCTAAGTTTTCCTCTTATCACACGTGCCTGGGATCTGGATACTCTCTTCCCTGGAAACGCCAGCTTTTCTGTGACCTCCAGGTGAGAGTTGGAAACTGAAACACAGCACTGGGGGCTCCAGCCAGAGCAGTGACAGCAGGCAGGACACCGATCCTTCTTTAGAGAAGCCACCCTTCACCACTGCAGCCTAACATAGCCAGGCTTCCCAAACAAACTCGTCACTGTAGCCCGGCCTGGCACAGATGATGAAAACCATCAGCTACTGTCCACTACACTAGTATTTTAGCTCTCGGTCCAGTGGCCACCGAGCCCTCCTGTGCAAGATGTGTGGACAGGGTCCCTCTGTCCCCCTGGCCTCCATTGTGCTTCCTATAAGATAAAGGTAGCCACCTGTTACTATCCCAGCTGGAAGGACGCGCTGTTCATTTATGGGGACAAGAGGTCTAAACTGGGAGACACAAAGGGTGGCAGCCTGCTGCTCCCAGGAGTATCCGGGCTTTTTGCCCCTCCTGAGGCTGTGAGTGCTCCAAGGAGTGGCTGCAGGGAGTGCTGGGACCCCAGTGGATTGAGCCCAGGGGCCATGGGCTCTGCTTTATGAGCGATACGGCTCAGAGTTGTTTGGGTTCAACTTCTGTAAACCCTAGCACCCTAATCAAACACCATCGCAGGCAGCATTCTGTTTGGAGCAGCCAGTTGATAACACTTGGCTATGAATATTGTTTTGTTCTCCTTAATGATGTAGTCAGTTATTTAAATAGGGATTCTTTTTTTAAAAAAACAAAACTTTTTTTCTACCTCTGAGCTCCAATGGCAGCCCGAAGTAGGGATTCCTAATCTTATTAGAATCACAGATACTTCGGAGAATCTGGCACAAGCTATGCCCCTTTGTGGATGTGAACAGTTCTTTGACAGTCCTTTCCCAGAGCTTTGGAGCTGTCTGAGGCCTGAAAGGCCCAGAACCCACCAGGAAGGCAGGTATCACCACCAAGGCTGGGATCCAGCTCCTAACCCTGAGCTTGCTCTGCCCAGGACCAACAATGCTTGGGTCATTCTCTGGAGCATACCACTCTGCTCAGACAAACCTTGTGCCTATGTGCAGCAGTCAGAGGTCACAGGCTGCGGAGCGGTGTCCCATCAGCCCATATGGGGTGGGTGTGCTTTCCGGCCAGGCATTCTGTGAAAATGGTCAGGCTGGTTAGTAGCTTTAACAGCTGAACAAACAATGCAAATGATCCCAGCCACACCTGGTTACAGGACAGTCAAAACAGGCTACCCCGTGGGCTGTGTGTTCACAAGCCGGGAGTGTTGCTTGGCTGGGGTAGCAGAAGTCCCACCCCTGCCCCTCCCAGTCATTGGGTTTAGTGTCTGCCTTAAATCTGGGATGATATTGTCTTGAGATCCTTAACAACTGAGATCCATAAGGACCTTGTTTCCAAATAAGCTCACATGTGCAGGTTCTGGCAGATGTGAAACTGGGGACCCATTGCACCAGGAAGGGATGTAATGGATGGCTGGACCTCGTGGGAGGACATCAGGGCTCAAGTTACAATGCCACTGTTCCCAGGGAGACACTTGAGTCATCAGGTCCCTGGTTAGCCACAGGCACTGTCACTAGGGTTAGGTACAGTCACCCCATATTGGTTTCTCTACAGAGCAAGGAGGCAGCAAGCACGAAGCTCAGCAAAGCACTTTGCTCCCAGTCAAGGCAGGGCCTTCTGCTCTCACCACATGGATTGCTGTTTGACAATTCAAGGTTATAGATGACTCTGAAGCTGGTTTCTGCTTTCATTCCTTTAGGTGGCATAAGTGGAAATAAATTTAAGCAGATGCTGCAGGAAGGAGAAGGTAAATACCACTCCCCACTAAGGGATGCGTTCTTACTTGGATGTAAAGAAAATGGCAATCACTGTGCATTCACAGCAGGCTTGTGTTTGGAAAATCAAAAGTATCTGGTCCTTAGCAGATCTGCTGGTCTGAAGTTTGTGTGTGTGTGTGTGTGTGTGTGTGTGTGTGTGTGTGTGTGTGATCATGCATGCACTATTTTACTAGATAAATATCCTTGACAGGAAATGTTTGAAGGTTGTTTTCTGAATTCCTTCTGTGTGGACTCAGAAGTAGAAGGAAGAGTGCTGCTGTTTTAATCAAACACTGTTTTAGAGCTGTGTCTAGACTCAGTGGGCCCTTCATGCCTGTGAAACCTGCCAGGAGCGTGGGCATGAAGCTGTACAGCTGTGCTGCCCTGGGACTAGATAAATATCCTTGACAGGAAATGTTTGAAGGTTGTTTTCTGAATTCCTTCTGTGTGGACTCAGAAGTAGAAGGAAGAGTGCTGCTGTTTTAATCAAACACTGTTTTAGAGCTGTGTCTAGACTCAGTGGGCCCTTCATGCCTGTGAAACCTGCCAGGAGCGTGGGCATGAAGCTGTACAGCTGTGCTGCCCTGGGAGTCCATCAGTCCAGGCAGGGTGTGCACATAGCCAAACCTCAGCTGCAGACCTGCTATGGATGTGCTCCTGAGTGGTAGCAGTGGTGGGACTCCAGAATGTCATAGAAACAGATGTCCTCAGGGTCACGGTACTGGTCCTGGGCTACCACCACCAGCTCAGTCTGATGGATCCATAGTGTGGCCTTGTGCATGTCACTTCCCCTCACAGCTGCATATTCCTTGGTGGCATTAAGTGTCTCTGAAACTAAAGTGTGTGGTTGCACTGTCAGGTGGCTGTTGAACAATCCTTCTTCCTGTTTGGTAGGGTCTTGCAGGCTGGAGCCTTTGCTTCAGCATTCAGGAGCAGAGGGAGGAAAGCACACCCTCCCCATGTGTTTCTCGCCAGGGTGGCCAGAGCTAGGGAGCCACCCTGGAGTCAGAAAGTTCCTGGGTGAGCTCCCAGCATCCTCTCAGTAGCTCCAGCTGCCCACAGTCCACCCCAACCTCAGAGGTGGCCAGGAGGGTCCCCTTCCCAGGCTGTCTTTCGCAGGGCCAGCCTGTTATAGCAGAGGTAATCATGACTTGTGGACATGCAGCCTTCATTCTTCAGGTCAAGAGAAGACACACACATTGAGCACCTGTTGTATACAGTCCCCAAAGGGTTTGTAAAAAGCAAACCCTCCTGGTGTTTCTCTGTGTGACATACAGAATCCTTAGCACTTGTTTCTCTGCCCTGTGTGTTCTTCATAGTACCACTGAGCCAGGGACTGTCATAACATTTATAGGTGAGGTACAGAGGCTCAGAGCACAGCAGGGCAAGTCTAAGAGCACAGCAGCATCCCCTGAGCACCTCCTGTGAAAGTGGCACTGAGTAGGCAATTGACAGTGGCAGGAAGATGCGGGAGGGGGCAGAGTGGAAGCCAGGAGGGTCAGCACTCTCAAGGCTCTGAACAATCAATCTGAGCCTGGGGCACTGTGTGCTTGTCACCTTTGTGAATGCACCCCCAATGCATGTACAAGTGTACAAGTGGAAGTCCACATCTCCCTCTGCTCTTGAATGCATAGCCCAAGGGGTGGGCCACCAATCCTTGCTATGGCAGGTGTATGGCGATTGACTGTCCCTGCTCCCTGGGAACCTAGGAGCTGAAGGTTAACATGCACTCTTTGTGCATTGCACACAAATAGGGACACCAGCTAACCAGAAGCATGGGAACCACCACCAGAGCCATCCTACCATGGTGGGCACGAGAGGCAGGCATGATTTCTTCCAGTAAGAAACCTCATTTGCCAGTGTGGTGGGCACACTCTGGGAGGCTGAGGCTGGACGATCATGAGTCCCAGCCTAACCTGGGTAACATAGCAAGACCCCGTTTCAAAATAAAGATAAAAACTTAAAAAGGAAAGACTGGCAATGTAGCTCAGTGCAGAGGCCATGGGTTCAGTCCCCAGTGCTAAAAAAGGAAAAAGGAAAAAGAAATATCATTCAATCATCAGGGGAAAGGGGACCAGGGAGGTTGTCCAGTAGGTGCCAGATGCAGGTGCACGGAGGAGGAGGAAGTTCCAATCGTCCTGTGTACTTGGGGATGGGGGGGTGTCATTGCAGCCCCTGCTCCAACCAAGGCAGATGTGGCTGTGGGTGAGAACAAAGCCAAACAGTTCCTGGGCAGCCTGAGACGCCAGCGGCGGCAGCTGTGGGATCGGACGCGGCCTGAGGTGCAGCAGTGGTACCAGCAGTTCCTTTACATGGGCTTCGACGAGGCGGTGGGTCCCTCCCTTGGGGCTGGGCTGTGGGGCAGGTAAGGGACATGGACGCTACAGCTTTGCTAGCTGCTGGTGTCTGTTTTCCACAGCTCTGTCAAAAGCTAATTGAGCTCCTGGTTCTGGAGGACACCAGTGTGTCCTCATTTGTCTGGTGAGAGCCTTGTGGCACATGGTGTCATAGTAGCACAGGAGGTCACAGGGTGGGGCAGGAAGGCACCTGCAGCTGCTCTCTACCAACCACTCTCAGAGGACTCTTTCCCCTCCAGAGACCCACATCTGTCCCTTCCCAGGGAAAATCCCTGACCCTGGAAGCTTGTGACCTCACATCAGGCTCCAGACATTAAAGGTCCCACTGCATTAGCTCAGCCACACAGGGGACCAGGTGTCCAGCATACGAATCTCCTGAAGAAGCACCCAACACCTGTCCACAACACAACACCATCATTCAAGCGCTGTCCTTGAACGGGACCCCAACACCCACTGTGTGAGGCATTCGTTGACAATCTCTTTTCCCTGTGAGCACTTTTAACTGCACTGTGTGGATTGCTTGGGCTCCCTTCAAATAACTCACCCCCTCTTTACAGCATCAGCTTTATGTCAGAAATGTGGGGCAACAAGAGATAGGCGCACAGCCCACTGGAGACAGTGGAAAGGGACAGACACAGCCTGTGGGGAGAGCCCAGTCTTTGTGGGTATTTGGAGAGGATGGGGTGGTTTGAGGTTTTGGAGTGCAGAGTGCTTGAACCCCACAAAGGAAAGAGAGAGAATACTTCTCATCTGGATTCCAGCTGGGTGTAGTGCAGGCCTGGGGAAGTGGGGCTAGAGACCCGGGGTGAAGGGTCTGTCCTCCAGAGCAGAAGGCTCTCTCAGCAGCAGTGTCTGTAGGGGAAGTGCTTTCTTGGGTGCTACTTAGGCGGCCCTGCAGAAAGAGGTAAGGTGAAATCTCTAGACCAGTCATTTCCACGCTACAAAGATGCAGTCCTGTGGCTGTGTCGTCATGATTCCCTTCCAGGCCCGGTCACTGAACACTTAGTTTCTCCCCAAATGTCTTTTGCTACTTGAATTTTTTTTTCTTTGTGCAAAAAGCTAAACACTGACAGCCAAACTCTGTGCCAGGCCCCGCCCCAAGTCCTTAGATGAGTGAACTTGATTAACACTTGCAGCTCCAACGACAGGCAGGCACGTAAGGTTTCTGTGTCGCTGGCCCCCTGGGTTCTGTGCTCTGCGGGGGGACTGAGTGTACAAAGCTGGATTCTCACTGAAGGGTCCATCAGGGTTGTCAGGGTGCACACTCCTGCAAGCAGGGCAGGTGGGATCCCACTCCAGACTCCACTGTACCTGGGTTTTGAAATACTTAAACCATATTTCCTCGGGAGATGAGGTGCACTCCCACTCTCTGTGATTTGTGTGTCTTTGATAACCATCCCTGAAATGGGTACGAAGAGTTTGACATGGGGAAATGGGGAAATACTGTCTGCTATCAAACTAGAGATAGATGCGGATCAAAGAAGGTTATAATGACCACGTGTATGTCAAAAAGAGTAGCAGCAAGGGTGTGCAAATGTCACCAGCATGGATTGTTGGCCCTGGGTTGTATGATCCCTCATTTTCCTTGTCCCCATCTTATGTGTCTGTGTAAATCTATCTTTTTTCTTTTTCCCCCTTTAGCACTGTGGATTGAATCCATAGCCTTTGCTCTGAGCAACATTCTCAGCTCCCCTTCCCCTCTTTCATTTTAGGTTTTGAGATGGGGCCTCACTAAATTGCTAAGTTGACCAGGCTGGGCTAGAACATGTGATCCTCCTGCCTCACAGCCTTCCAGAATGCTGGATTACAGGTGTACATCACCATGCCAAACTTCCATAAAACTTATTGAAACACGCGTCACAAGCAAAACCCTCAAATAAGTTTATGAAGTCCGAAATCTCAAGAAATAAGATCATCTCACCTTGACCCCAACAAAGTGAGCAAGGCCAGTCTGGGGATAGTGGAGGCCATGAGGTCTGGGTCCTTCAGGCAGAGGCTGAGTGAGGGCCCAGAGAACAGCAAGGCTGAGGCCGGCCTCATCCCTGCTGTGGCCACAGGGCCATGACCATGACCACACACATATCTCAGCCTGGGAAGTGATGCAGTCGGAACTCAGGGCTGGGCTTGCACTGAACATGTTGAGTTCACACGGTCCTGAGTCAGAAACCTGAGCTGAAGGATGTGAGTTGGGAGCCGACTGGACTGGTCCTGAGCAGCCCTGCCAAATAAAGTAGATTCTGGAAACACAACCTCCAGAAAAGTGACCTGGAAGTGGCCGCCCCAGCCCACACCTGGAGAGGTCCCACAGCTCAAACTGCCTGCCTTTGCCTCACCTGAGCATAGATTCCTGCAGCTCCCCAGACACTTGCTGTGCACTGTTAACTTTAAAAACAGACTCACAGTGGAGGCTGGACGCCCACACCGAGACCTGGCTGGGAGTAAAGCTCAGTGGTACAGCATGTGCCTAGAGTGCAAGAGGCCCCGGGATCGATCCTCAACACCACTGGAAAAGAAGAAAAAACAAAATGAAGGTGGGAGTAGCAGCACACACCTATAATCCAAGCACTCAGGAGGCAGAGGCAGGAGAATCACTGAGTTTGAAGCCAGCCTGGCCTACACAGTGGGTTCAAAGCCAGCCTGAAATAAAGCAAGACCTTGTCTCAATAAACAAAAAAAATCAAACCAGACTAAACCTTGAACATCACCTCATGCCTGTCGCACTCCCCTCCAGGCCTCCCCTGCTTTCTGTTGTAATAATGCAGTAGTCTTCTTTCCTGTTTGTTCCTAAGGCTTCTGGGAGTTGGGGACTCTGACCCCCACCCATGTCTGGCTCAAGGCCTAACCCTGCACAGTGAGAGACACACCATCCCAGAACCTGCCCCAGGTCTCTCTCAGATGCTACTGCTGCTGCTGATTTAATCAGCCAGCATTTATTATGTACCTACTGTACAGCAGGCAGGCACAGCAAGGGTTGGGAAGCTTTTTCCCCCCTGAGATGAGGATCCTGCCCATCTCAGGCTGAGTCTTTGTTGACCTGGGCAGTGTCTGCTTTGTTTTTAACAGGGTGTTTACATCCCTAGCCTGGCAGAAGTCTCCCTCAGGTGAAAGGGCTCTGGCCATACCATTGAACTAGGTGCAATGGCCTCAGGGCAGGAGAATGAGGGAGTTATTCCCAGTGAGCACTGAAGGTAAACCAGCCAGAACAACTGGAGGCAGGTGTGACTGGGGGTGGGGTGTGTGTGCATTTAAATATATTCCCACCAATCTCTTCCTCCTCCAGAAATTTGAAGATGACATCACTTACTGGCTAAACAGAGACTGGAATGGACACGACTACTACGGCGAAAACTATCAACGCCACTATGACGAAGACGCGGCCATCGGTCCCCGGAGCCCTGAGAGCTTCAGACACGGGGCAAGCGTCAATTACGATGACTACTAATGGTCCCTGGCTATACTACCCCCAAGAAGCTGGGTCCTGCCCTTGGGGGTCTCCCAGGGGCTACCACGATTGGGCTTCCCTTGGGCTTCACATCTGTGCCCTTCACCCCACTCTGTGGGACCAGAAAGCTTAAGCAAAGAACGTACATGCCAGTGCCTAACCGTGCAGCTCATCTAAACTTACAATAAAAGCATTTTCTTAAAGGAAATGTCTCTGAATTCATTTGGAAGGTGACGAAGCTGGTGGCATTTCTTGCTGCCTTGCTGTTTTGAGGTTGAAGCACTGTCTGGGGCCCTTTCCCTGTGAGCATCCTGGGAACCCTAAAACCACCACTCAGGCAGACCGTGCACATAGAGCATGCAGACTTTAGTTTGTTAAAATGCAACTGCCCTAAAAGCAAAACGTGCAGTTGGAGAGGAAACAGGCTGAGGAGGAGCTGCACTCATTGGATGGGTGGCATGGAGGATGCAGTCACCACATGGCCTTCTGAGAGCTTTCTGGGTTCCAGCCCTGCCTGGTAAATGCTGTCACATGGTAGGTGAGGAGCGACGGGAAGTAACTGAGGTCCAGCTGATTTCAGACCTTACTCATCTAAAAAACTTTGTTCCATGAACTCTAGAAGGATATAAGAATACACTTGGCATCTTGGGGAAGGGTTGTTTGCCCACAACATGCCCAGACCTACAGAGGGCAGTGGCTCAGACCCCGGGCAGGGCAATTGAAGCCTCTCCTCTTTCCTTCAGGAAAACCTAATCCTGGCTGTGAAACACACCTTCCCTCGCAGTGGGTGCTGAATAATCTGGGTATGCCAGGGAACAGGGTTTGGGGACAGCAGTTTACAGCCAATTACACATATGTCCTCCTGCTTCCTTCTGGGGCATCCTTAGGACTTTCATAAAAAATTTGTGAAAATCTATGCATGACCTAAAATTCACCGTGGTGACTGTGTTTATATGCACAGCTCAGTGGCATAAAGAAGGATCACGCTGCTGTGCAACCACCACCATCCATCTGCATAGCTTTTCTACCACCCCAGACCAAGCAATGCCCTCTAAGCTTGAGCTCCCCAGGCCCCTGTCCATTCTGTCTGGGCTATGTGACTCTGACCCCTCTGTTCCCTCACTTGCGTGGTCCCGCAGTACCTGTTCTCCTGAAAGTGTCTCCTTCCACTCAGCATGGTTGGTTAGACACATCCTGCAGGCAGCAATAGCAGCGGCAGCAGTCAGCTTCCTCCCTCTCCGGGGCAGAGTAATACTCCTCCGTGTGTCTGTCCCTGTCTGTGTGTCTGGGGGGAGGAGGACAGATATGTGAGTGGCTTCCCCCTTGGCCATCGTGAATTGTGCTGCTGGGAGTCTGGCACGAATGTCCCTCTGTGCCCTGGCCTTCCATTCTCCTTGCAGCTGCTGGATCCTGGGGTCATTCTGTGTGTCACTTCTGGAGGAGCTGCCAGGCAGTTTCCAACACTCCCACCTGTACAGCATAGGGTGGTGGTGCTGGCTTGAACCCCGTGGGGGGGTGCTCAGGAGAGGGAGGCAATGGGGGACACCTCTGCTATTCTCCTGGTCCTCGGCACATGCTTGTTGTTTCCTCCATCAGCTATTCTTGCAGAAAATTTTTTGTAGATTTTCCTCAAATTCAGAACCAACAGAAAAAAATTATGTGTGTGCACATGCATGCGTGTGTATGTGTAGATGTGCAAGCGTGCACGCGCGCGTGTGTATGTGTGTGTGTGTGCACATGTGCATATTAGCCTGGCTTCTCTGTTGCCGTAGAGCAAAGAACTGTCAGGAGGCTCAGCCTGAGGTGGAAAGGCCAGATGCAGCCCTTTCCCGGGTGGAGATTGGAGAGCCCCATGCTTTCGCTGTGTGAATCCCGGAGTCCTGAGACCAAAACACCAGTCTGTCGTCCAAGGTGGCAGCAGCAGAAACTGAGCACCTGCAGCATGAAGGCCAGGGCTGGGCTGGGAGCCTGCCTCCCGTCTCCTGCCCTCCTTCTCCACCCAGCCCAGGCCTGGGGAAAATGTCACCATGCTCAGGGTGGGTTCCTCATCTTTTAGGGCCAGTCAGGGAGATGCCTGCACATGCCTTGGAATCAGCCATGCCTGCTGAAGTCCAGTCAAGGTGACAGACAGCAGCCACCATGGTGCCCTTTTGCAAGCTAAGAAAACCTCTTTCTAAAAATATGCTAAGAAATTTTTATGTCATATCTGGGTCTTAAATTCTGTTTTATTTGTTGAGATAACTTTGCCTAATATGCTAAAATGAACTTTTAAAATATTTATTCTAGTATTATTAATCAACTACTTCAATCTATCACCTCCATTTCTAGAGTGGGCCTCACTTGGTCATGTCACATCACCTTTTTACTCACAGATGGATCTGGCTGGGTCCTGTAGTTGAGTCTTTGCATCTACGCCTGAAGACTTCCCCGCAGCTGGCATTCTGGCTTGGTCCCTGTGGGTCCAAGGGTCGAGGTGACACCAGCCTCCTAGAATGAGCTTGGCTGTATCTCTAGCAGTCTCTATGTACACATTCTAAGAATGGAGTCATCCAATTCCTGAATGCTTGGGATCATGCAGTCGAAGCATTTGCATACAGGGTTTTCACCAAGGGCAATACCCTCACTACCAGTTGCTTTTCATGTTTAAAGGGTGATTCTGATTTTTTGTTCCTCTTTCCCTCTGGTTTGCTCCCTTCAGTCTTTCCAAGGAGCTATGCAGGATAGCAAGGTTTTTGCAGTCAAGAGCTGTGTTTAGAACACTCTTATCTGTTATTCTCTCTCTGTGGCTCTGTTCTTTTTTTCCATTCCACTTAAGTTTTTAGAAAATGCATCAACTGGCTGTTTATCTGGTGTTTTCATTTCCTTTCTTCTACTTTTAAGGGTCTTGGATTTAATTAGATCATAGCTATCTTTGAGCCTTCTAATTATTTTTTGAAGGCAAATACTTAATGCTCCAAATATTGCATCTCAGGAGTTTGATATGAAAAATTAGATGGTGAAATCTTCTAATTTTAGTCACAATTTCTCCTTTGACCTCTGAGTTAGTTATATGTATTATTAAACTTCAAAGACAATGGATCTTTCTAATTAACTTCCTAGTTTTGTTTCTAGCTTTACTGCATTGTGGTAAGCAGTGTGGTCAGCAGATCCCAGGCTTTGGGGTGCCTGGTGCCCGGGGTATGTTTGGGGTATTCCCCTCAGTAGCTCGTTCACATGTACTTGAAAGAAACCTGTCTTTCTCAGGCTTCAGTCACAGTTGAGTCTGCTCATTCAAGCTCCATGGTTTCACTGCTAGGACTTTTTACTTTTTTTTACTGAAGATTTTTGGGGGGTCCATTTTACTTAGCAATCACCAAGAGATGTGTTAATATCTCCTACTACTTTGTGATGATGGCTTTGATAATGTTTGCCTCTAACCCTGGTGGTCTGGTTCCATGTAGTATGTGGTTATATACAAATCCTCCAGCAAATTTAAAGTCCATACATTTTTCCAGTGAATGGGACTATTTTTCATTATGTAGCAAACTTCCTAACTTGGAGTAGGGCTGATTGCCTGGATTGTCCTTTGATACTTATAGGACTCTGCTCTATTAACATTTTCCTGGGCTTTTCTATTATTTAGCTTTAATCCTTCTGTGTGCTTTAGGCATTTCTCTGGTAATAAGTACTTGGCTAAGTTTTGTTTTGTTTCTTAAAATATTCCAATTAAGATCTTCACTGCAGAATTTAGTCTACTCACACTTATTATAATCAGTCATTTACTTCTTAAATACTGGGGGTTGAACCCAGAGCCTCACCTGCTAAGCACAAACATTACCACTCAGCTACATTCCTTGTCTGTTTCTAACATCACATTTGGGATGTATACATTATCCTACTCTACTTGTTTGTTTCCCACTTTTTCCTCATTTGGACTGTTTTGTTTTTCTTTGATCATTGATTCTTTTTCCCTCAACTCCCTTCAGTGATCTGCACTAGATCTATTGAAAGGATGCAACACAAAAGACACACACACCCACAAACACCCACACACACACCCACACACACACACACACACACACACACACACACACACACACACACACACACACACACACACACACACACACACACACACACACACACACACACACACACACACACACAGTGGTACCTCCATTCATGAACTTAATTCTTCCCGTGATTCTTATTGCAAACCAAATTAGATGAGAACAGAATCAAATTCAATGGTTAGGTTCAATATTGACTTTATGGGGAAATTTGATTTGCCATCCAATTCTGCTTGTGACCAGAAACATGGAAAGAATTAAGTTCATGAACTAGCATTTTGGTTCATGAATTTAATTTATGGTTTGGGGGAATATAGTCACAGTTTAGTTTGTCACCCTATGTGGAGTTTGTGGACAGAAGTATAACTGTGTCTATACCTACGTCTATATCTATCCTCCCATTATCCTTCCCACTTTCCGAAGCAGCTCTGGACGTCTTCTTTCATGAGTGTCTTTAGGTGTGCTCTCATGGCTACCTTGATGTCCTGAACATTTCCCTTTCGTGGTCATTTTGACTTTGTGGAAGAGCTAGCAGTCACATGGTGCCAGATTTGGTGGATCAGGTGGACAAGGACACACAGTTGTGTTTTTATGAGCCTGCCTTTCCATTGGATGGCACTCAGCAGGAGCATTCACCATGTTTATCATACCTAATAGATATACTCAGGAAAAAGGATGTCCAGAACTGCTTCATAAAATGGCAAGGGACAATGGGGTATGTTTGAAGCTAAGGGGAAATTTTTGAGGAGGATTTGTGGCCTTGAGTCCTTTACTGTAATACATTTAAGCATTCACTGTATATTTTGGCACACATTTCATATTTTTTTATTCTCCAAATCCATGAAGTCTCTGAAACAGACGCCATGATCTGAATGTGTCTTCCGAAGCTCATGTGTCACAAACTCCTCCTACAAGACAGAGTCCAGAGGTGATGTGGGGGAGTGTGTCAGCTGTCAAGGTGGTCTGGCCTTCTGCTCTCTCACATGCTCACCCTTCCACCTTCCATCATGGTGGTGTACAGCGAGAAGGTCCTGCCCGGAAGCCAAGGACTGGATGTGGCCCTCCCCAGGTTGCAGAATTATGAGAAACAAAAATGTTTTTCAATAAGTTATCCAGTGTGTGCATTCTGTTACAAAGCACAAAA